CTATGGGTTAACCCAGTTCTTGCAGCGAGGGCACCAAAGCTTGAGGCAATTGTGTTTATCTCAACCTGTTGGGCACTTTGACAAGGCACACAGTAGAAGTAGTCGCAGCGGAACATCCCTAGGGAAACCCACTGTAAAGAGCACGATGGTATCAATAACAACCAATCTGTAAAGAGGATACTAAAATGCAGCCCAGAGTACTGCAGGAACAAAAAAAAAATAATAATAATAATAATAAAAAAAAGAATGGTGTTGGATATGAAAGCATCTAGGGCATCACAAACCTTACTTGAAAGTTAGTAGTGTTCATATATTGATAAGTTTTAATCTTGAAGACAATGTGTTATCTATTTTTTCAACCAAATTTTAAAAATCTGTTAAATATGCCAAAATGACAGGATTATGATGATAAAGAAACAATTTATTTCATGCCCAACTATGGCACCAGTTCTCATCTTTTGTACCAAAGACTTAATTCATTCCAATAAAAAACAGGCAACTTACTTTTTCTAACCCTTTCTTCAGCTTCACTCTTTTCTTATTTCAACTGAACTCATCAGCATATTCTCCTATCTCTTAAACTATACTGTAAATTACTTCATCATATACATTGTGAAGTTTCATATATCTAGATATATTACCATACACAAGTACTAACTAGAGTGAAAAGATACAATACATATAACAATTGATATGCCATATAGAGAACTCATTTTATGACAATAAAAAGTAGTGCCAAAACATATAGCCAGTTATTTTATACTGGTAACCTTACATGATTATGTGTTGGCAAGTAATTGTCAACTAAGGACAAGAACCACTGACTGATATTTAAAAGTAATGATAAATATATCTACTCTAATTTATGACTACAATTTCCAGACACCAGTTATCTTTTAAGCTACTGGGGCCAGGTATATGACCTGCCCGATGTAGTTTCGTTTTATTTACTAATATGGCTTGAGAAGCAGCTTGTTACCAAAGTCAATTATTAGCCATACCTGACTTCACCTGTTTACCCACTCCTAAAATTTTCAGTGTGTGCGTGTGTGTGTGCGTGTGCGTTTGCGTTTGCGTTTGCGTTTGCGTTTGCGTGTGCGTGTGCGTGTGCGTTTGCGTGTGCGTTTGCGTGTGTGTGTTGTGTATGTGTTGTGTATGTGTTGTGTGTGTTGTGTATGTGTTGTGTGTGTGTGTGTGTGTGTGTGTGTGTGTGTGTGTGTGTGTGTGTGTGTGTGTGTGTGTGTGTGTGTGTGTGTGTGTGTGTGTGTGTGCGTGCGTGCGTGCGTGCGTGCGTGCGTGCGTGCGTGTGTGTGTGTATGCATGCAAGTGTGTGTGTAAATATATGTGTAAAAATATGTGTTTGAGTGTGTATGTATAAGAGAGTGTGTATGTATGAGAATGTGTGTGTAGGAGAATGTGTAAGAAAGTGAGAGTGAGAGTGAGAGTGAGAGTGAGAGTGAGAGTGAGAGTGAGAGTGAGAGTGAGTGAGTGTGTGTGTGTGTGTGTGTGTGTGTGTGTGTGTGTGTGTGTGTGTGTGTGTGTGTGTGTGTGTGTGTGTGTGTGTGTGTGTGTGCCTGTGCATGTGTGTCTGTGTATTCTGGGCATGTGTCGTGGGCCTGGTTGCTATAGTTGAGCATAATTACAATGAAAATTGGGCTATTCCTACACAATAAGAATTGACTTCAAGACCAACCATACAATACTTCAAACTCACAAACTTTCGGCAAGCTTTGCCTCTAAATTCTTACATTGCCAAATATTTTTACAAAACCATGTACTGAAGTTTTTATCCCTTCAAGAAATAAAAACAGGAATAGTATTTGCAAAACTATTGGAAACACAAGAACTAAGAAGCAAAAGCAATATTCATGTGTACAGGCTATATTTCCTTCCTCTCCAAGCCTTAAAACTGCTCTCTCTCTTTAGCTCCAAGCAATGCTAGTAATTTGTGAATGTTCTTAAAAATACCAATCACAATTACTAGCCAACTGCTATGTACATACAGAGGAGGAACCGATTAGTTTAAAAGAAGAAAAAAAAAGATAAGAAGAAAACACATGCTCACAGAAGGAAATTGAGATAAAGAGAGAAAAGGAAGATTTTTTTAAAATGTAGTAAGCAATAAACCATGCACATAATACCAGGATAAAAGAGGCTTCAGAGTACATCCCCCCACAAAACAGAACTTTTATAAAACAGGACCTTTTTACTGAAAGTGACCTACAAGGGAGTTAACATTAATTCTTAAAAAAAAAGTTTCAAGACTTGGGATGAGAAGAAAGTATACAAACACCTTGATGGATGGACAAACGTGTAACACAATGTGTGCTATTTTATACTTAAGTGCTGAAGGTGAAACTTAAAGGCAAGCTGGTTCAGGAATAGATGCTGGCAGAGTGACAAAAAACAGTAACTTTTAGGACAAATAAGTGATATTCTTATGTCACACTGATGTAACTGTTATCTAACTTTTGAGACATTTTCTACAGTAAAATAAAAAGTAATTACATTGTGTATTGGAATTATAACTATTTAAAATATTTATGGTAAATTATTCCTACATTGGCTATGTCTACTACATTCAAAGAGCAAACACTATGCCAGTCATTTGACTTCATATAAATTTTGCCAAGAACATCTGTATTTAAGAAGATATACTACCATAAAATTTGATCAGATGGAAAATTACAAAAAAATTCATTGAAAAGTTCAAAAATTAATTTCAGTTTTAAACTCTTTATCCTCTCTTTCTAATTCATCTACATAAGAAAAGATGCTTCACTTATAAACTGACATTAGGAAGGTGTAAAATGTAGAGGCATATAAAAAAAAGTAACTCATTTTATAAACCAACAGTCAAGAATCTTGTGAATAGTCATTAAAATTGGTTTCTGTAATAGCCATACTCTTTATCCAGAGAGTTATTTATCTAAATGACAATAAACTTCCAGAAATTTGTATGCATTATGCATTATCAAAGTTTAAACATTTTCATATTTGCAGTCCAAAGCATGCATTTTTTTTTCTTTTTTTATCATCCTGTGATCACTTAAACTTACATAAAACTAGTCAAGTGAATCAAGCTAGTCACTTTCATTATCTTATCAATTTTGCAAACTCATACTGGAAGACTATGAAAAAGTTAAGAAAAATATATACATATATATACACACATCATATGTTTTATATGTTCGTACACACACACATACACACACACACACACACACACACATATTGATATATATACATATATACATATATATACATTGTAGAAATACCCACAATGCAAGTAGATTTATTGAACATGAGACTACAGTTTTAAAATCCTCCTGGATTTTCAATAAATCTAGTTTTTGCTTTGTGAGTTTTTCTACCTTAGTATCAACACAGAAGTGTTTTACCATTCAACATATATACATATACATAAACATAAATATATATATATATATATATATATATATATATATATATATATATATATATATATACATATATATACACACACACACACACAAAGACACACATATATATACACATGTGTGTGTGTGTGTGTGTGTGTGTGTGTGTGTGTGTGTGTGTGTGTGTGTGTGTGTGTGTGTGTGTGTGTGTGTGTGTGTGTGTAAATGTATATGTATATGTATATGTGTATGTGTATGTGTATGTGTAAGTGTATGTGTATGTGTATGTGTATGTGTATATGTATATGTATGTGAATGTGTATGTATATGTATATGCATATGTATATGTATATCTATATGTATATCTATATGTATATGTAAATGTATATATATATATATATATACATATATATATACATATATATATGCATATATATATATGCATATATATATATACATATATATATACATATATATA